CCGTGGCAGGCTGGAGAGGAGAATTGGAGGCATAAAAGGTAAAGAGCACGGTTGAGATAAGAAAATTTACTGGGAACAGCAATGAGATAAGAAAACAAACATAAACAAAAACAGTAACAACATTAAAACCAGAAGTGTAAAACCACAGAGTGATTCACATGCAGAAAGTTCACCATGGAGCCTTACCTGATAATGCCACACTCCCATGACCCGGAAGTGAGTCCTTCTCTCATTCCCAGAAAACGACATGAAATGGTATAGAATAACCTCAGTGTTCTAGCCATGTATCCTCCACTGATTACGGTACAAATTAACCTTCTCCTGACCAGAACCACGTTGTACTGTTAACTCTTCTACCTGTATTTGAATTGAGGAACTTTACAATCTGCTGTCAGCTTAGGTGCTTGGCCATCTGAGATCTCCATAGCCCAGAATCAAAGTTGCAGGATAGGTTCAAGCTGAGATTAAAGCTATAATATATAAATATTATACAATACTTATGTTTAATAATATGTTTAATTTTAAATATGTGTGAACATGATCAGACTTGAACAGAACAACTACACTGAACATTTTTTACATGAAGATCTCTTCCTATTGACTCTTAAGTATCTCCTGGCCCTATGATCCACTGGAGCTTCTTTGAGTAAAAGACAGCATGAGGCATTGGTTTTGTTTTAAAGACACTCAGAAGTATAGTTTCCTTATCTTCTGTGTGAAACTTCACTGAAGCATATATAGTTCTATTTTCAGTTGTTTGACTTTGTGTTCTGGTTTTGGCTAGGATACAGTTAATTTCTTTTCATGCTACTTTCTGAACAATTACCAAATTTTATGGTGAACACTTCTGCAGCTGATTATTACTCATGATAAACTTTGGTCATTTGGTGATTTTTTTTTCTTCTTTTTATTTACATATATGAAAATAGCCTCAGAATATATTCATATCACGTGATGATATAATAAAAATAGGTGACTTTGGTCTTGTGACTTCTGTGACATTTGAGACTCTGACTGAGAACAGAGGAACAAAATCGTATATGGCACCAGAACAGGTAATTATCTTGCTGTGTTAGTGTCTCTGTAATTAGATGTGTGCTATAAACTCAGCATTGAATGTTCTCAACCCTAATCTCAGTATTAAAGCAAGTTGCCTAAAATTCCCTGGTATGACTGTATGTGAGGATAACTATTCTGGAGAAAGGTTTACCACAAGTGTGGTAAAGTTTTTTGCTCTGTATGAGCGTAACAGTCTGATACTGCATGCTGTAAGGAATGTTTTTGTAAAACAGGCTGCCAGACATGTATTTAAATTTGACTTTAGGGCCCCCGGTAATTGTGTAATTTGAGTTTTTCTGTTTGATTCATTATTTGTTGCAGGGCAATATTGGCATGCTTTATCTGTACAGGTCTGTGGAAGTCTTAATTTCAGTGTGTTCAATGTGACATAGTAGTCACTGTTTACCAAGTCTGAGACTGAAAGGGTTAACAACTAGAAGGATATTGAGTAGGGCCAGCCTTGTAGCCTTGGGGTGGAAATTTCTGCTGACTTCAAATTTTGCTTTAAGAAGTGCTGTTCTCCAGTTGGATTTGATGCCTGTATTGTTCTGTTCTAATATTTCTAGTTTGGGGACAGATACGGAAAGGAAGTAGATATTTATGCACTGGGATTAATTTGGTTTGAAATTCTTTCGGCATCGACTTGTCATGAAAAAGCTAGGGTAAGTAATCTTTAAATTTAAAAACCCCCACTGTTTTGCTGTTGGCTTGCCTTGCTGCTGGTTTCGCATATTGATAGCATTTTAGAAGGAATTTCTGTATCTAGAGTACTATCTCTATTTACGTTTTTCTCCTTAATTCATTTCCATAAAGCCTGTAAGTACTCACACCTCAGTCAAAATGTCATAACTGAAGGAAAGAAATACTACAGTTTATTTCACTTCTGTCCTACTACACTAAAGCCCCAAGCATGCTTTAAAAAGGATAATGTCAAGCAAAAAAGGATGTCAAGTTTCTCATAAATCTTTTTCTTCGATCAGAAGCTTAAAGGGAGTATTTTTCTAATTTTAGAAAATAAAAACTATGGATGGGTAACTTTTGCCTCTGTCATGCTCTTGTCTTCACTGCACAGTGGAGCAAGAAGAGTTTCAACCAAATCAAAATCAAAACATTTGCAGTTTTCCAAGATGAAAGCAAAAGTGATTTGGAATACATTGCTTTAAGTGAAACAGATATTCTTTCAAAAAGAAACCCCATGTTACTTAAGCTTTTCTAAAAAAGGCATCTTGTGTGTGTTTTGAGCTTTTTATGTGCAAACCTGCATATTGATAGGACAGTGATATAGCTGCTGGGTATCTTGTCTAAAGTAATTGTGGTTGGACTCAGACTTTGAACACTGTTAGCCGGATCTTTTTGCCAATAATGAGAAAATCACACCTATTCAAGTCTATTCAACTTGGCTCTGCCCAGCCAACTTGCAGTACTTCTCAGATCTTCTGTCCCTGCTCACAGTTGACTGCAAATGCATGCATAATCCCACGGTGTTTACAGTTGGAAAAGTGTAATTTCCTTAAACTATAAAAATCTTGTGCTCTTCAGGAAGCTGGGCAAGTTATGTGGATGGAAAGTCCTAGGATGGTCTTCAGTTGCTCCGTTAGACTAGAAAGAATTTCACTTAATGGAACATGATGATAAACTCTAGTGATTGCAAGTCCTGCTGTAAGAACATAGTGTAAAAGCAAAGTGGATTATTCTGTGCTAACTGGTTCAGTTGATGATCCCCAGCAGGTAGAGTCACAGGCCTAAAGCTACTGCTAAAGAGTAGGGGAAAAACTCAAAAGTTCATGGGAGCTGTTGTTTTACTGGATAGTGGTTGTGAAGGACTTGCTATGACAGGGTTATAGGGATCCACAGGACTAGCTGATGATTCAGGATAGGAAGTCCAGGAACATAACTGTCATCTTCAGCAGACATTACACTAGTTAACAGCAAACGAATTAAGGAGACTGCTCTGTTTACCCAGAAAGTTGGAAGGGGCCACTGGAGGTCATCTAGTCCAACCTACCTGCTCAAGCAGGGTTCCCTAGAGCACATTACTTGGGCTTGTATCCAGTGTATCTCCAGCGAGGGAGACTCCACAATCTCTCTGGGCAATCTATTCCAGTGCTCAGTCACACAGACAGTAAAGATCTTTCTCATGTTCAGGTGGAGTTTCCTGTTCATCAGTTTCTGCCATGGCCTCCTGTCCTACTGCTTGGCACCACTGAGCAGAGCCTGGCTCCATCCTCCTGGCACCTCCCTGCAGATACTCACAGACATTGATGAGCTCCCCTCTCAGTGCCTCTTCTCAAGGCTGAGCAGCCCCAGCTCCCCCAGCCTTTCCTTTTCAAGAGAGATGCTCCAGTACCTCAATCAATCATCTCTGTAAGCCTCCACTGGAGCCACTCCAGCAGCTCCGTGTCTCTCTTGTCCTGAGGGGCCCAGAACTGGACTCAGCATTCCAGATGTGCCTCAGCAGGGCTGGGCAGAGGGGCAGGATCACCTCCTTTGACCTGCTGGCAATGCTCTTCCCAATGCACCCCAGGATCCCATTGGCCTTCTTGGCCACAGGTACACACTGATGGCTCGTAGATGGCTTCTTATCCACTAGGGCCCTCAGGTCCTTCTCCACAGAGCTGCTTTCCAGCAGGTCAGGACCCCAGCCTGTACTGGTGCCTGGAGCTATTCCTCCCAGGTGCAAGACTCTGCATTTCCTTTTGTGAAATTTCAGAAGGTTCCTCCCTGTCCATCTCTCCAGCCTGTCCAGGTCCTTCCAAAGGACTGCACAGCACTCTGAGGTATTGTCTATTCTTCCCAGCGTTGTGCCATCAGTGAACTTGCTGAGGAGGCATCTGCCCCTTCATCAGGTCATTGATGAACAAGTTAAACCATACTGGGCTCAATATTGAAGCTAGGAGGACACCACTGGTGACAGGCCTCCAACTAGACCCTGTGCTGCTGAGTGTGACCCTCTGGGACCTGCTGTTCAGCCAGTTCTCAGTCCACCATCCATTTGCTCAGACTGCTCTTCCTGAGCTTGCCTGTCAGGATGTTGTGAGAGACAATGTCATAGAAAAAAATTGTTAACCAAAAGCTATTTCTAAAGCATGCAATGACAAATGTTAGTTGCTTTGGAGTCCATGTAGCGTTTTATGCAATGACTCAGAAATTAAGTGTGTGGTATTGAATATGATAAAAAGGAGGAAGCACGCCTGCTTGGCTTGCAAACAGAAATTCAGTTGTCTAACTTTTTTCTTTTCTTTTAATGTCATTAAATCCATTACTTTTAAATTAAGGAAAGAAAGATAATGGTTCTGAAATAGAGAGGACTATTGAAACAAACATGTCATTGTAGTGTATGAAGCTTTAAATTTAGAAATGGATAAAAGTTGATGAAAAGGCCATAAAACCAAAGCACAACTAAATAAACCCCCCAACTTTCAAACTATTTAGAGTCACTGTTTGAAGCCTTACATTTTCTGTGAATTTGTGTTTTCCTACCTACTTCAGTAAACTATATATGTCATAAGGTGAAGATACAAAACATAACAAATGAAAGCATACCAAAACTATTCTTTTTTATTAATTTCAGGTATGGCCTTCTGTTAGACAAGGTAACCTTCCAGAGAGCTTCATCAACCGATTTCCGACAGAGGTATGGGATTTTAGTATATTTTTTGGATACTGTATTAACGTATAAAACAAAATAACAACAACAACAATAAAACAAACAAACAAAAAAACCCCCAAAAAACTACTGACATTTAATATTTTTTGCAGGCATCTATAATCAAAAGGATGCTTTCAAGATCAGGAAGAATCACTGTATCTCATTTACTTGACTTCATTAAGTCTGCTGGTAAAGAGAAGGCACTTAAAAATTATTCTTGTTAAATGTCCTTTCACACCGTGTTTAAATCCAGAGTTCGATGAATTTATTAGAATTGATTAAGTGACAACAGATGTCAGAAGCAACAGCAAGACTTGGGGCGTGTCTTTTCTTTGGCCTCATCACCATTCTTGTCTGCCAGCTGCAACGAGGACAGGGTACTTCTGCAAGAAATCACATGCAATTTTTACCTGGAAACATGGGTTGTGGATGAGCTGGACTGTCTTGTAAAATAAGTAATAGAAACTAGTCCTTTTGCCCCCGAAGATTATGTTGATGTGCTAAAGTGCTAACTGGGCTGTGGCAAATCCCTGCATGTGCTGCATCCATTATCCCTTATGGTTATCTGTTGCTTTCTGTGGAAGAAGTGCTGTTTGGTGGTATGTGACACAAACCTTTCTGATTTGTTCAGTGATACTGTTACTAATTAATGTAGAAATTTGGTAAAAAAGATACTAGGAATAGATGAATGTTATTCTTCACTGAATTTCTGTACTTTAAGGTGCGTTTTCTTATCACTTCACAGCTGCTGCTGACGTAGCACCTTCAGTGCTCTAGAACTTAAACCTGTAAAATGAGGATTTCTTAAGAATTTGAATGTTAAACATTCCGCTTCTAGGAAATCTAATTTAGAACAAATCTCAGTTTTTGAAAACTTTCAAATTTTGATGGTTGTCTTTTTTGAAAAGAAACATTTAAGGTGCTATCAATACAGGGAAATTCTCCCAATTGCCTCAGTAATAACAATTTGAAATCCTAGGCTGAGAGAGCACCTTAAATATTCCCATGCTTCTAGGTTTTAGTCCATTATTGTAATACTGAGGCACGCCTAACCCTTAATAACTGTACTGAGTACCTCTGGTGTGCCCACTGCCAGTCCCACAAAAGGGAACAGCAGGTTCTCTGCTACTCTTGATTTAGATCCTTCAGAGTTCAGCCTTGCCTGAACTCGAAGTACTGTGTGTGGTGTGGGGAGCAGGGTGAAAAGACAGGCACATTGGACCTTCAGGTGCTTGTCTTTGAGCTCTATTTCGTCAAACTGTTCATTGATGTAGGGTCAACATAACTCCATAAGGGAAAATGAGCAGAGATTTCTAAGCAAAAAAATAGGTAATATATGAAATACTGTAATGTGGGTGACTGCTCTAAAAGAAGTAATACAAATGAAAGTATTCATATTCTTAGGGAAATTACTGATGTTCTGGTGGAAGTAGTTGTTGCTAAATAAGAATATGATTGTATGTATTTTGTAAGGCCTTACACTGCTTTCTTTTTTTCTCTTTATCATAAATCACATATATAGAATCATAGAATGGTTTGGGTTGGAAGGGACCTTAAAGATCAAACCCCCTGCCCTTGTCAGGGACACTTTCCAGTAGATTATATTACTCAAGGCCTTGTTCAACCTGGCTTTGAACGCTGCCTGCGATGAGGTATTCACAGCTTCTCTGGGAAACCTGTTCCAGTGCTTCACCACCTTCACAGTAAAGAATTTCTTCCTAGTATCTAATCTCAGCCTTTCATTTCAAAGCCATTCGCCCTTGTCCTGTCACAACATGCCCTTGGAAAAAGCCTCCCTCCAGCGCTCTTGGCATCCCACTTTAGGTACTTCAAAGGCTGCTCTAAGGTCTCCCCAGAGCCTTCTCTTCTCCAAGCTGAACAACTCCAACTAAAGCAACTCCATTTGCCAGTTCTCTCAAGACCAGTGGATGCATGTCAGCAGGTTTCATGGACTTGTGTACCTCTAGGTTCAAATTTTCTTGAATCTGATCTTCTCCCTGATTATCCCTGGCCAGATTGAATTCCATCAGGGCTTTATGCTTTCCTAACCTTATCCTTGACTGGAATTCATAAAGTATTTCGCTACTCTAGACTAATTAGTATTTCTTTGCAGTGGTCAATTATATATCCTTACAGAAAAAATACTATTATTTCTGCTTTCTCTTTAATCTGTTGGGATAAAATTAACATGTAGTTGGACTTGATGATCTTAAAGGTCTCTTTCAGCCTAAACAATTCTATGAAACTATTCATAATAGGAAAATTGGTATGTGACAATCTTTTGGCTGCATTTCCTTTACAGTTTTTGGACAGAGTGAAATAATATCATTAGCAATAGTATCACTAGAAATAGTATCTTGCTGTTAAGTAATACTGAGTTTGTCTCAGTAGTTTTTGATACATTTTCTCTGCATAGTATTTGTATACTTCAGCATTAACTTTTTATAAATGGTTATAGTAGTGACTGCTGTTGAAAAAAGGGTCTAAATTATAAAAGGTGAATTAAAATATATTTTTATGTAAAAAAAATGAGAACCCACCATCATGATCCAATTCTATTTAATTATGGAAAATATGCACTTTTATGTACAACAAAATAATGTCACTGTCATGTTTCACAAGCTTTCCCCCCCCCCAAATTTAAGATAGTAAGCAAAACCAGGTATTTAGGCATCTCTCTAAAGATGAATAAGCCCTGTTTAACACATTATGCAATAAAGTGATTAGCCAATATTTATGTCTTTACTCATAGTTGAATTTTTATTACCAGTTGGGCAGTGAATAAACAAAGATGTGAAAGACTCAACCTACCTCCCAATTATGTTACTTCAATTACAAATACCAAATTTTAATTCCTATTAAATTATGCATCAAACAGAAAATATGAATTTAACTTGTCAACTTCAACTCTTCTTCTGCATACTTTGGTATGAATTCTTGAGTATGGCACAGCTTAGAGCCTTTTAAGAGATACTCTGAATTATACATACTTATCAGGGCTCCTTCCCTTAGACTGGCTTCAGTCATGATCTGCAGCACTGTCTCCAGGACAGTTTGAAGATAAATCTTCAGAGTCTACAGGATAAGCAGAAAAAGAAAGAGTAAATTCAGCTCAAGGAAGGAAAAAGTGGTTGCTAGAAATATTTCTAGAATCCATGTAGAACAGATGAAAAATAATTCAAAGTTTTACACGTTAGTAACTCTCAAATTTGTTTTAAAACAGTGAATACAAATTCTACTCTCTTTGGTGCTGTGAAACTGGATGTTCTAATTGTTTCAGAAACACCTGCCAGCTTTTGCAGCTTTTATGGTATTGGTTTTAATATCTGAATTATGTTTTCTCAGAACTAATGAAATTATAATATAAATTCAAATAAATGTCAGTATGGTTGACTGTCATTTGTTGTGTGTGGATTTTTTTGTTTGGTTGGTTTTGGTTTTTCTGCATATAAACCTAGAAACTGGGTAACAATCACAATAACAATATGGACAAAGCTTTATGCAAAAACCAGCAGCCTGGAAGGTAAATTTGCTATGTAGATTTGGAAGCTGCAGTAAGAGAAACACAAAAGATATATTCTATAGCTTGAGTCTAGCTGCATACAAAAGCTTGGTTCACTCTCACCTTCATAGGTTGTTCCACACCAAATGCAATAGAAGTGTTCCTCTCTCAAATAGGCCGTCAGGATGAGCAGCTTTTCTGATACCTAGAGATATTGACAGGTATGTGGTGACCTGGGGCTCACATGACATAGACCACTTTGAGCTACTGGTTTGCTAAATTAAAGTGTTTAACCTAATGCTATGGAAAAGCTACACAAGACTAGCTCAATAAGACAGGAAGTTTCCCACATTTGTAGAATAGTGCACAGGAATTCATGATCCCTGGAAAGTTAATGGCTGTTGTTTGCTTATCCTTCTTTCCAGCTAAGAAACCTGCTCTGAAGAGAGAGGGGTAAAAATATTACTCAGCTATCTGATTTCATATATATGGTATCTCTTGTGGATTTTCTCACAACTAATCTCTGCCAATCAAACACATAAGGCTAACAACAGCTGTCTAATCTAGTTCTTAAAAATACGTATTTCCAATGTCCATCTTGAGATAATCTGTGAAGCATTTTCATAAATTAATTAGTGACTCTAAATTTCAACCTCCGACATGAGATGAGGCACCCAAAATTAAAACTCAGAAGCAAATAACTGTGATCTTGTGTATCTTGGCTAAGGCACAAAAATGTTTAGAATTTAATTTCTAGGCTACTTTTTTCAAAGATCAGCCTCAAAACAGCTAAGCAATGAATCAGTGGTTTAATGTTCTATATTTTACCATGTAGTTCCTATAGAAGTCACTGCTCTGGGATTACAAAGAGGCCTTTCACTACAGTATGGGAAACATGTATGCGTACATCCTTTATACATGTATGTATACATACATATTGTTTCAAGGAATATTAAATGTAATTTTGAATTAAGCAATTCAGTTGAAGAGCTTACACTTAAGTCTGAGCTTGTGCATTCATCTTCCTTGTCTTCCTCATCCTTTTTGACTTCCTCTTCAGGTTCTATCCAAAACCAAGTCTCCTTGGGAACATGAATATCCTTAAATAACAAGGGATTTAAATGGAAGTTATCTGTTTTTTTAAGTTTTCTTGTAAGATGCTGGATAAAACTAATTTCTAGGAAGTGAGCTGTCAGCCTTTAACATTTGCATGTATACTATAACCAAGAATTACTAAAGCTGTAGGTAAGTCCACAAGGAGTATTCACTTTTCTTTTTAAACAGTGGAATGCATGCCAATGCTAACACCTAGTTCTATTTCATCTATGTTTGGTATGTGCAAGGCTACACAGCAACATAATCTCATACCAAGCCAGTGAGCAGATAGCCTTGTTTATCAGTTGAAGGCATGCTGCCCCAACTTATTTTATCAAGAGATCGCACAGTGCTTCCTAATTCACCTCAGGTCAAGTTAAAGAAGAAAAAAAACAAGGATGATCTAAGCTTAGTTCAGCTGACTTCATTTGAAGCAAAGTAAATAGTATTGAACAATCTCAGTAGAATTGTGAGGTGGTATTAATCCCCACCTGGTTAATAGATGGAAAAAAAAACTTGAAGTTTTTCAGTGGCAAAAATTCCTAGTAGTTCATTGCTACTGCCCATGTTATTCCTGGCAAATGGAAGGTACTTAGTTTTGTGTGGGTTTTTTTTATTTGTTTTTCAATGCTACTTTGGTGAATCTGCTGATTCCCTCAATGCTGATCCCCATTCTTGGAGATACTCAAGATTTGCCTGGTCCTGGACAACCTGCTTGAAGTGACTCTGCTTGAGGAGGAAGGCTGAACAAGATGACTTCCAGAGTCCATTCCCAATGTCAATCACTGTGTGATGATGTTACTCCCACACCTGAAGCAAACAGCACCATTATTGAGGATTGGCCTGATACTGGCAACTGGAAGATAAGCAAACAGCTCAGCAGTAACCACAAGAATGCAGAAGCAAAAACACAGGTCCTCATGTAAGTTACCATGAGGTTGGTGTGCACCTTCCACTATTTTAATGGTACAAACATAGACGTTAAAGTATTTTAAGAGGACTGAAATGTTGCTGAATGTTAAAGACTTTAAGCTAGTTACTCCACAATTTTAAAGAACTTCCAAGAACTGAAGCACTGCATTGTAGCCTGTGTCTCTAACCTCTGTGTCTTCCTTCCATCCCCCCCAGAAACCCCCCCAGGTCTCACTTTTTGCATATCTAATTGCTGGCAGGCCCTCTGGCTTTTTCGCAGGTCCCCTTCCATCTTACGTTCTTCTTGTTTGGTTTTGAATCTTATTCTGTTAAGAACAAGCAGACACACAGTGATAGATGCACTACAGTCCACACTTTTACAAAACCTGAAAATCTAAGATTCTATTCCGACTAATTTTTTCAGACCTGAACAATACTGAAGTTAAGAAGTCATTATGACACTGTGGTAGCACACTTGTATGTCTTGGGAATTATACCTTCAAGATACCTTTTTAACCACACTACACTGTTTCTTCATCAGGTTTTCCTAAGACATAAAAAAGTGGTTCACTAAACATCTGGAAAAGATACAGCCTTTCCTGAGCTTCTCCATTATTACAAGCAAATCAGGAGAAAACCAAAACAACACAATCTCTAAAAATATACCCTGACTATTAAAACCATTGTACCAACACTGCTCAGGGCTATCTGTGGATTTTACATTTCAAAGTAAATAAACAAAAGCTGCATATGACTTGAGAAAAGTTAGTATGTATACTGTTACCATTATTAAGAACTACGAAACTAAATGGTGCAGCACATGTTTTTAGCATTAGTGTTCATCTACTTTTGCTTTAGAACTGAGAAACAATTACACTATAACTCTCACCTTCCATTCAAAATATTCAAAAATAGTAGCACATTAAAAGAATAACTAAACCTCAAGCATAAAAAGAATTGCTATTTAGACATTGCTTGGAATATCAGTTGTATGACTTTACCTGAACTGATCTGCAGCTTGTTCATTTGCTTGTTTCTTCATATGGAGTTTTTGTCTATAGTTTTCCAGTTTTTCTTCGGCTTTTCGCTTTTTTAATTCCTCATGACCAAGCCCACTTCTGCCTATGTAAGTTCAAAAGACGAATGTGAGCAGTTGAGAGGCTCTGATATCCCACTAAATAAATCAGAAAGCACCACAAACCTGTTTTTATGTTCAGAGGAATAGGTTCAACAATGCCTTCTCCTGTGAGAAAAAAAAGAAGGCAATTAAAAAAACCGAGTTTTTCCTCAAACAATGATTTGTGCAGTATATTTGAGTCGGCAAGCTGTTTTTGCCATTATTGTGATTTTTTTGCTCGGAAGTTGAAAACTTCCCAATTAATATACATTTAGTGTGCTACAAATGACACAGCTATACTGGAAACTCCCTCTCTTTTTTGGCTTCTCTGCTGAAATCCTATGGACTTTTTTCATGACAGGACCAAAGGGAAAGAAAAGGTGTTGACATGACAGGTGTAACATGCCTGTGATGAAGGCTGCTTTGTTACTGCCTTCTGGAGCATTTTCATTCTGCAGTCTCACAACAACGATGAAGAATAAAAAGAATCTGTCTGGGCCAGTTCACTGTGATTGTCTGCCAGAGACACTGAGCTGGCACAGCAGTTATTAATTCCTTGTTCTACTGATTTTATGTCATCTATTAAGGCTTCATAAAGGTAGGCCAGTGTGCTCTGTTACCTTTTCAAAATCCAACTATAAATTTCAAGAGAGTCTGATGTTTTCTTGAACACTATTAGCATTGCAATACCATCAAAACATCCTTAATGCAATTCCTGTAGGTATGCACATATGCAAGTGCATTTATTGAGCTGCAAGTGCTGCTCTTCCCTTGCATCCCTCAATAGCCTGTACTATTTTTACTTCAGTTTTAGCGATTTGCTCTCTTAATTTGTTCTGTCACAGCACCTTCACAGTTCTGTAATGCTATGGCTCTCCAAGAGGCACTTACTGACCTGTCAACAAATGAAGTAACAGCTGCAGTCTGTAAAATATTAACGTATAGCTGAATACAGACACACACTTTTCGAGAGTGACAAACTTACCACTTTTGCCAAGGGCCTGGCCGCTCTTGTAGCCCATCTTCTGGAGCAAAGCAAAGCCTTTGTTCTCGTTGCCCAATGCACTTTTCAGTACCAAGTCACGTCTCTCTTTTTCTTCTTCTTTTATGCTTTTTTGTCTGTTCTTCTCATTGGCTTCTTTTTGCTTTTCTTCTTTCTGAATAGCTTCCTTCACCCGCCTCACCATGGGCAAGCCTGGCCTTACATCCTGTCTGCGAGTCAGTAATTCCAGTAAACATTTTTAGCATTTTTTTAAACGGATTTACTTAAGAGAGGTGAAAAAAATGAACTACCTACTTACTTAATAAATAAATCAGACATATAGTCTTCCTCTTCCTCCATGCTTAGTACGCCTCTATGCCGACGCCTCTCCTATGGACACCGTCAGCGCGGGTTACCGAGCATTTTATTTCTCCGCGCGTCCGCTGCGAGGCGGAGGATGGAGGGACGAAAACACCCGAACCCGCCGGGCCGGGCTGCCCGGGGCACCCGCGCCCGCCTCCAAGCCCACAGCGCGTCTTTTTGGGCTCCGCCACCGCCGACCACCGGCAGCCGCGACACCGCTCCACGCCCGGGAGCCGGGCCGAGCTGCAGCCAGTCCCCGGGAGCAGGGACAGCAGCGGGAGCAGCCCGGGAACCGCGCACGCCCCGGGCCCGGCCCGGCCGCACCGCGGCGCCTGCGCGGGGCCGCCCCCGCCCGCCGGCGCCTGCGCCGCTCCCGCTTCCTGCTGCGCGGCCGCGGTGCCTCCGCGCTACCGGGCTGCGACCGGGCCGGGCTTGGGACAACGCCGTCGCGTCCCCCCCTCAACATCCCTGCACACCCGCCGGACCTGGGCACGGCGGGGGCTGAAGCGGCCGAGCCCGCCGGTGATGGTGGCGCGGCCGGGGACGAGCGCGGCGCAGCGCGCCCACGCCTGTCCCTGACCGTGACCGGCCCCGGGGCCGCGGTGTCGCGCCTGGTGCAGCCGGAGCTGGCGGGACGCGACCGCCGCACGGGAGGAGCGTAAGTGACCGTGAGCGGCCCGGCCCGGGGGCAGGGTCCGCGCTGCCCGCGGCGTTGGCGGCGTGCGGGGTCGGTGTGTGTGCGGGGCTGCGCGCTCGGAGGGCGGCGGGCAGCGCTCCCTCGGCAGCGTCTCCTCAGCGGCATTGCCCGAGCATCGTCCCCTGACGGCCGGCGCTGCACCGCGGCAGTGCCTCCTCCGAAGGGGAACCAGACATGATGCCCTGAGAGCTCCTACAGCTTATTAAAGTCGCCGATGCAGGCAAGGGGACGTAGGCGTGAAAACCTTTTCACCTGATGGAGTCCTTCAGGGATGTGTGACTTCGCCTAAACTTGTCTGTTTCCCGGCTTCATCACCCCACTGAAGTGCACGCGTGATGGAGTGCAAATAGATGATTTAGGCATAGGAAAACAGCAGGGGAATAGAAAGGAATTTTAGTACATCTGAACGTTTTCTTATCTGTATAATGCTCCAACATACCTCACTGGCTGCTGGTTGACTTTGATCGGCTTTGGCTGTGCATCATGTGGGAGATCACAGTGTGTTTATTTCCTGTACCATGCACAGCAAGACCCAGTCCTGACCAGGATCGGTAGAACTCGGTAGGCTTTTCACTGCTTTTTGGAGCAAATCTTTGGCCAGTGTAAATGAGCTTTGGATTGTCTAAGCGAGTAGCTCTGCGTTTGACTCTTCAGTTAGCTGAATACTTGTGTAATTGTTCTTGTGTCTGATGCCTTGTGCTTCACCAGCACAGCTGAATGTATGTGCAGGTTTGGTTGCTTAGAGCTTGTGTTTCCTACATTTTAGATGAAGCGGTACGGGAGTGTGGGGAAGGTGCGAGAGGTGTCCAAGGCTCTTATGGGCAGGGGCAAATGAAACCTTTTATGTGGGGATGAAAAGAAATAACGAGCTGTGCTGTCCAACAGTACTTATGGTATGTATGTGCTGTGTGGGTGTGACAAGCAGTGCAGATCTCTGGGATGATATCCAAAGAATCACAGTGCCATCATTCATTGCATCTCTGCTCTCGAGTAAAGGTGTTTTGAGGTGATGTGTCAGAGTTATTGACTGGCAATGCTTTCTTAGTTCTTTATAAATGTAAATAAAAAACCGAAAAAAGCCGACAGAAAATGTCTTTGGAGGAGTTAGGGAGGGCTGTGTGTGCTTCCATATGTGGCTCTTCCACCTTTGCTGGAACAGTATGCATTTCAAAATAAGCCAAGTGCTGAAGTACAGGGAACAACCGTAGAATTAAAGAAGACATTGTGATGCTTTCGTTTTATCAGGACCAAATCATTAAGGTGATTTAGAACTATAATACAATATTAATATGTCACCTTACTAATGTCTCATTTGGGGACTGTTTAAAAAAAAGTCAGTTGAAGTCACTTCATTTGACTTTTAAGAATTTTTTGAGTTTGACCATGGATGAGGAAGCAGCTGTGAGCTCTTGAGAGCACAAGTGGAGCAGTGCAGCTGTCAAAAGGTGATGCCTGTTGAAAGCTGATGTCTTACATAATACTCTGTAGTTGTGTTGCTTTCTCTGTTTTGCCTGAGATCCTAGTTTCAACATTGCTGTATTCAGGTTTTGGGGTTGGGTTGCTTTTTGGGTTTCTTTTTGCTAAAGGTGATTGATTTTATGTTATGATTTTTGGTAAATTTTATGGTTTTTTTCTTCTGTGAGCTCTGCATTGAATAGCTACACTTTTTTTCAGGTGGCTTGCTAGGATAAAGTAGGCAGAGTGTTTGCTTATACTGAGTATGCTTTTGATAGAGCTTTGATGCCCATTGATTGAGCAGGATCACCAGTGTTCCATCTGCAGGATTTTGCCAGCTGGGGAGACCTGCAGTAGTTTGGCTGCTGCTTGTGTCCTAGGCTGTCACCCCTAAGGCTTGCTGGATTTCAGGGTCCTTACTTGTCCAGCACTTAAAGCAAGACTAGTGGGATCAGGGAAATCTTAGGTCAGTGCTGCCAAATCCTATCACTGTTCCTGCTTCTCCCAAACTTGCATTGGCTGGAAATTCCTACTTGTGGTGGGATCATCTCAGATTGTCTGTTGAAGGGTGTTGAGAAAGGGGCCAGGTTCATGCCCCAGCTTTGGGAGTGCACTCCTGGGTTTTGACTTGCAACAATCCTTTTTGTCTTTCATGTAAGTGGAGACAGTGAGGTGATTCCTTTACCTTCTTTAAACAGGGACTTTGGTATATTTTTCTTGGCTGAGAGTTTGCGCTCTGGAATTGCCTGTAGGTGCTCTTTTTACAATTAACAGCTCTGTTCTCTGAAATACTAATGAATGGACTCAGTTTGTAAATATGTGAATAGCTTTTATGTGGGACTATATAGCTAAGACAAGTCTAAGCAAGCTGAATATTTTAATTTGATTTTCAAAGCTATGTACTGTACTTTATACTAATATTTACATTTTTATTTTAGAGTTTCTACACAACTTTGCAATAGAATTGGAATTTGACCCATTATGGAGCTGGCTCATAGTTTGTTACTGAACGAGGAAGCATTAGCTCAAATCACAGAAGCAAAGAGACCAGTTTTTATCTTTGAATGGTTGAGATTTTTGGATAAAGTGCTCGTAGCTGCCAACAAGGTAATTTAATAGGCTTTTTTTTTCCCCTTCTTTCTAAAAAAACTTTCTAAAAAGCATTTGTAGTAATTTCATGCCAGAGAAAGTTAACAGGTAATGGCTAGTTGGTACCTATGTGGTTCCAGATTCAGCCTGAAGAGTCTCTGTGCTTATTTGTAGATTTTTAGTGTTTAATTGTAGGCAGTCAATGTGGGCAGCTAGTAAGTACTTTTAAAAAGTAAAAATTAAATAGGACAGCAGCGAATTCTGAGCATTTAGCATCAGTCTCTGCTGTTGTTCAGTGTATCTCATGTCTCTCTGAGACAAGCAATTTGCTGAGGTACATACAGTTGGGAGTGGCATAAGGTTTACTTCCATTTCTTGTAGATTTTTCTGGGTGTTAGAAGCAACACAGAGGATTAAACTACTTTTCTTATTTATTTTTGGCTTCTTAACAGACAGATGTCAAGGAAAAACAGAAGAAACTTGTAGAACAGCTAACAGGACTCATCAGCAGTTCCCCTGGACCACCCACACGGAAGCTGCTTGCAAAAAATCTCGCTGCTCTCTACAGCATTGGAGACACATTTACTGTTTTTCAGACACTTGACAAGTGTAATGACATCATCAAGAGCAAAGATGATACTGCAGCCTACCTGCCCACAAAACTGTATGTTTTGGGGAAAGGGGAATGGTTTTTAAGCCAAATGGTCCTGGATATTATAGAAGAATCTGCCTATATATGGGCATGCTATGTTTACTTTACATTTTATTAAATATTTTATATTTACTTTTATATTTTGTGTGCTTGTTTGGAGTTATATATGCTTGATATAGATAGCTGAGAAGAGCACTGGATTGAGACTGTGCAGGGCAGAACTCAAAGGTGACACAGACATGTCTATGTGAATGTGAAATGGTTTTCTCTAGGCAAAGTACTATGTTAGGACTCTTCACCTGCTTATGTTATGGAGAGAATAACAGTTAATGAAGGCATTCCACCAGTGGAATTAGTGCTGACTATGCTCAGGTACCCCATTAAAGGTGGAACCTGCAGATTGTCAAACCAGTGTTATCTGTGCCAAGAGAATTGGAACCAAATATTCAGGGTTTTTTTTCCCATCAAACGTTGACTTTTCTATTCCCCTACCATGCTAAGCTGCACAGGTCTCTCAAGCAGAGTCTGTGCATGTGGAAATGTGTGTGCATGGATGTGTGATCCAGTTTATCTTTAGTCATAGGAGCAGTCCCATTGGTAGGAATTTGGTTAAATGCCACAACCAACTTCCACTGAAATTGGTTTTGGTACTTTCCCATTTACTGCTTCATATGTTCATGGTGTCTAGTGAACCCAAATTTAGTTTTGTCTTCAGACACTATGACAACAATAGGATTTGACAATAAAATCTGAAATAGTCACGGTGCAGATAATGTCCTATTATTTCTAGGTCTTGCAGCTGTTTGAGAAACTTGTATAAGCAGAAGTGTTTTCTACTCTAATATACTCTGAGATTTATGCTACCAAGTCATAGTCCAGAAGGCTTTTTAATGGATACATGCCCATTAAGGGAAGGCTGTAAGGAGTTTGTGATATAACTTGGCTAAAAAACTGTTTAGCCAGCAAGTACAGATTTTTTAAAAAAGCCTCAGTCCTTTGTGATGAAAAAGTGCATATTTTCTGGAGATGCTTCTGTGACTGTCCTGGAGCAGTTTTTATATATAACTGAAATGTAGTGATAACTAAATATTTCTAATCTCAAATGGCAGAGCAAGAAAAACATGTAAATAACTGTTTACAAATCCAGAGATGTTACAGTGCCTGTAAATTTTCTTGTGTTATGTAATAATTTCTGCATTTTAAGTTCTTAGTC